AGTTGCAACCCTTAATTTTTTTTATTCTATTTTATTTATTTATTTTAAGTAAAAATATTGCTTGTTTTTACATTTTTTCGAGTGGCAAATTTTCGAAATCACTTAAATTAAATTAGAATAATCATTTTTGTAAATAAAATGGAAATATTCAGTCATGATGTTTTGGGAATTTCTTTACAAAATTAATTTATGAAGGTTTAAGTAACTTATATTCACAAAATTTCAAAGTTATTAAAAAAAATATTCCTTTGTGGAGTAGCTGTGAAATTTACAAATAAACGAGCTTTATATATATTTTAAGAAGTGGAAATAATAAAATGGTAGTTCTATGATGATTTTTTGTACCCCAAAGTGTTGAAATTGTGACGTCCGGGTCACTATCTCAGGTACGTCTGAGGCGGACGTAATCTCAGGTGCTCTATTTGGTTTGCGTGCGTACGCTTAAACCAGGACGAGCAATTGGAGAATCAGAGCTTTTCTACTTCGCGTTTCGCGTAAAAAGAGTGAAAAATAAAACTTGACTACAAGCCTTCCATCAAACACCAGGGTCCAATGGAATCAGGACTTGGATGTGAAAATCCCAAACCTTGCCGGAATTATCACATAAAAAGTATTTAAATTTTGTTTAACGGCGCGACTGTCTTATAGAAAAGTATCCCAATTCCTGCTGAAATACTTATCGAAGACTTATTCTCACGAGTTTCGATTGGCTACTCTAATAAGAAGAGGAAAAGGAGAGATAATGATAACAATTTTTAGTTTCAACTTACTTTTTCTTTTTATTCAATGTACTTGATACTTGGACACTGACTACAGTTGACTGATATAATTGACTGGTACTTGGAGAGATGAATCTGGACCTGGCACTTGGTCGAACGAGGTAAACTTTGAAGCTTGCGAGGAGCGAGAGAGTGGACGATTTTCGCTTGCGCACGCCCTTTTAAACCGTGGGGGTGGTTGGGAGGAAAATCCCTCTTTCAGTCCCTCAAAATTTGGGAAGAGTGGAAATGCCAGTAAATTCTAATTGGCTGATCGAGATTTTCCCTCCTTTTCTCTTTCGGATTTCGGGCCCTAATTGGTTCAGGGGCGTGGTGAGAATTGGGGGCGCGCGTACAAGAGTTTGGGCCCTATCTCGCTAGATGACTCTCCAAGTACCATTTTCATTACAGATTTTCTTATAATTATTAATTTATTTATTACGTAAAATTATTACAATTAATTCTTAATAATAACGCAATTTTTTCAATATTTAACATATTTTACGCGAAAATCTTTGATCCTACATATTTACAATTAGTAACTTAAATAATTAACTCACTTCGTTGTTTAAATAGTATGGAATGAAATAGGGGCATTATTTAATTGTGGACTATATAACTGATTTGCTAAAGTTCATTTAAGTAACTGTTTTTCGACTATTTATCTCATTTTCTAATTTATAATTTAAAACTTTGAGATATTTTCGATAATTGCGCGGTAACTATGTTTCTAATCAAAAAGTGTGTGGGAGGTTTCAAGAAGCTGCGAAATTTTCCTATCATGCTGTTATTTTCCCGATTCATTTGTGTAAAATTAATTATTAAGATTTTTTTTTTATATAGCAAAAGTTTTAGCTTCTAAAAGTGGAAAACTTTTGGGTGAAATCGAATAACAGGATGCAGGCGGAATTCCGCGGCTCCTTTACTCTATATCTAAACCTACTCAAAAAAAACTTTACGATCGTTCGAGGTAAAATTTGGAAAGCGCGCGACAAAGGGACGGCTATTTTCACGTGTCCTCCAGCTGCTTCAGCTGAATGCTCTCCCTTTACGGAGTTAAAATTTAAGCTACGCAAAAGTATACGAGGAAAAATAATTTATGGATAATAAACGGCCCGACGTTACAAAATTTTTACACTTAAAAAGTTTCTATTTTCGTGTGTTAAATTTCTGTGATAACTGTTACTGATAGATACTAAAAAGAAAAACAACGTTTCTGAGGAGCATATGGTATTTTTTTACTTTGTTAAGCTGCTTTTCGTTTATCTAATTACTCTGATAACTTCTACTCTTATCAGTATTAGATTAGTCGAATGAGACATTTCAACAATAAAAACCAATATCTTTCAAAAGTGTCTAGCAGTAAGTGTTTATATTTCAATTGTGTTAATTGTAGGTATTCTAATATCTGACAAGAATGAGAATCGATTCAGTGAATATAATTAATCTTCTACAACAACATTCCAAGTTATACAAGAAATTCCGGTTATCTATACAGAATTAGAATTAAAAGGAAATATTAAAAAAATTTTTTTGAATACTATGGAGATAATTCACTCGAATTTGAAGAAGAATTTAAAAATTGTGAAGCGATGGCCGTTGAAGATAGCATATGGTACAAACAGCCTACTGTTTCTGATGAATGTACCGCAGATGATGAAAAATTAAATTATGAATACAAAAAGAAAGCAGTTGAATACTGAAGATCTGCAAAGACGAGAAATTTACGCATCGACACTGTTAGACAGAAGTATAAAAAAGTATTGTCTAAACTACAATTACGTAGTTAGGCAAACCAGATTAATAAAGACGGTACTTATATGGAAAAATGAAATGTAATTTCTGAATTTGTACTATAAAATCTTAAATATTCTATAAAAGTGAACAATATTATTCATGATACTGATCTTCGCGAATGGGTATTGCAAGCAAAAAATAATATGGGTTTTCAAGAGGTACGATTTAAAGCTGCAGATTTTTGGATATATAAATTTAACAAAGAGTGTAGAATAGTTAACAGAAGATAAAACAAATTTATTCCAAAGAAAAATTTGCGCGATGAGTCAAAGTTAACAGATAAAGTTGACTAATTTCTAGATAATACACGAAAGTTGTATTCGTGAATATGGAGAAGGTAATACCTATAACTCTGATCGAAGTGGATTTGAGTTAGAAATTTATTCTAAACGAACACTACAGAAGAAGGAACAAAAACAGTTAAGTGTGTTGTTCAATCAATTTCTGCAATAACCTACAGCTATACGACGATACAACCGACAATAAATGCTGAAGGAAAATTACTTTCGCCCCTTTTTTTAGTTATAAAGGAAACAAAGGAAAAGTTCGGACCTATAATACCAAAAAATGTTTTTAAACCGCTTTATGTTTAAGTGATGGCATAAAAATATGGTAAATTGATTAAAGATATGTGAAATCTAAAAATACTGATTTTATATGATTTTTTAAGTATTCATTATATTTACAGAACATTTCAAAATATGGTTTAAAGAAGTCTTTTATCCTGATGTGGATAGTAAAAGTGTACTTCTAATAGATTCGTGGAGTGGAAATTGTCCAGAAACTATTCGAGAAGCTACTGTCAAAGATAAACAGATCCATCTATTAAAGTTACCCAAAGGTACAACATCGAAGATACAACCTTTAGATGTTTTTGGTTTTAGAATTTAGAAGAACTGTGTAAGGCATTTCTCCGATAGTGTGATATTATTAAATGAAGATGTAAATTTACATTTGAGGAACAATGGTATAAAATTATAAGCGATTACTCACAATCAACTAATTAATGTAGATATGTCAATCTTTTTAAGTACAGTTAGTTTAAAAGTAATATGTAGATAAAAAACCTATCCATTTTGAAAAGCATTTTGAATTTGGATTTTCACAAGCAGATTAAACTTTACGAGTATGTGAGGTACCTGGACGTACAACTGTTGCTGTTATTAGATATTCATAGTGTCGAAAATCTTTATGACTTAATCATTATTTATAAAAATTTCATTATTGTACAAACTATATATTTTAACTAAGAATATTACACAACATGCTGAATTGTTTTCCATTTAAAGTTGTATCATTGATATATCAGCTTACACTTGCATGAACAAAAGAAGAACATTTTATAAATTATTATATAATTATTTTAGTTTTTATTGATAAACGATCATTTGCTGAATTACTAATAAATGAAATAAATTACGCTTTTTCTTTCTGAAATTGTTACTACTTTTTATAACTAGTGTCATCTTGTATATTTTGTTTTCTTTAGAGTTACATTTGTAATGCAGCTTTGACTTTCTGTATTACGTGTAAAAAAATTGCAGATAAAATATTTTCATTTCCAATAGTTTTAGATATTTTTTGCAATAATATATTGAAATTTATTTAAAATAAATTTAAAATTTCTTGTGGATTATCAGGTGAAAAAATATTTTTACTAAAAAATGTAACAACCCCTTAATTCACAAATAATCTTCATAAAACTATACATATATTAAAAAAATTAGTATTACAATTATATGAATATTCAAATTAATTTTTACAATATTCATAAAAATAAATTTTCAGAGAAAATTTGTCGAAGTTGTTTTCACACTTTCAAATACATATAAACCTTGTTTAACTTTAAATTGCCTAGGTATTCCACGACGAAATATTTGTTACTATCTTTGAAATTTTGTGAATAAAAGGGTAAGTATCCCCCATAAATCGATTTTTTGATGAAATTCCCGAAAAATCTCGACTGAAACTTACCGTTTTCTTTACAAAATTGTATATTTTAATTTAATTTGAGCGATTTTGAAAAGCTGGTACTCGAAAGTTGTAAAAAATGTAATATTTTTATTTAAAAAGATTAGGGGTTGCAACCATATAGGGTACAAATAAATGTCATAAAATTGTTATTTTATAACAATTAATTTGGCGTTGGAATTATAACAATATTTAATATTTTTAGAGATATTAAAAAAAGTTTATTTTCAAGATTGATTTTTATGGGGTGTTTTCACCTCCTAAAAACGCTTCTCCGCCGATAAAAAAATACGTACTCTTATTTTTTTATGTTCTATAACATATTACACACACAGTTCCATAAAAATCAGAGACGGATCCCTTGCAAAGGTTGCTTGTAAGTAGTCAAGCTCAATATCTTAATTATTCGTTTCCGAAATCTTGAATTTCAAAACCTGAAACTTCTAATAATACTCTATGATATATTAATCTTAGGAGCCATTACTTTGGTCGGAATGCCCAAAAATCAACAATAAAACAATTGAAGAGTGCGAAAAAAGTTCCGAGACCGCCTATTTTTGGTACCGCACAACACTTGATGCAGCACCATCAATTGAAGATGGTCAGAATCTTAAATGGTGGATTGTCTTGTGCCTTCTTCTCAGTTGGTTCGTTGTTTTCTGTATCGTCATGAAAGGCATTCAGTCTTCTGGAAAAGTGAGTATCAAAATTTTTTAAATTATACTAAATATTGCAAATATGTAGCGGTAAGAAAAAGGTCCATTTTTTTTGAAAAGCGAGTTAAGTCATTTTTCAGATTTTAAGACATGGTATATTTATATCATATTATTAGAATTATTATTAGAATCATTATTTGCAAAAAAAATATTTTATTTGGAATTAAATAAAATTGAAATAGAACAGAAATCTACAAAAAAAAAAATTTACTTTTCGTTAATAAGTCATACATATATAGTTTAAAAGCAACATCAACTTTTGCCCCCTTATAAAAAAGTGATGGATACCATATTGAAGCATTTTATTCGTGATCTAATTGGCTAAGATATAGTCACGTTATATGCTGTTATGGAAGCAAACATGCATGTCGATGTGATTTCGAGTTGTAATTTTAGTAATAAAAATTTATTTTAATTGATACAGATAATTTTGAAGATAATGAAAATAAAAAAAGTATGCTACATTGTTATTTTTTACATTCATTTTATAAAACTAGCAGCGAGTAAATCGTTTGATAAAAGCGAGAGGTTATTATGTTTTGAAATTATTCTCATAATCTGATATTTGAACGTGTAAGATTGAAAAAAATTTTGTAATACCGTAATCTATATTAAAAGAGTAGGATAAACGTTTAATAGTAATTTAACCCATATGGCTGAAAAGAACTATAGAGATTGTTTATATCTGTTTTCGATATGATAATTCATGAATTTGGAATACGCGGAACTGTTTTAGTAATACAAGTTTTTCACTATGATATGTATTTTGTAACAAAATTTGAAAAACCACCTTTGAAAAAAGGGATTTATTACGTTAAATATGATAATTGATATGACGAGAAATGAAAAAATAGATAAGAGCGCGTGAAGCGCGTTCAATGTCGCTAGTAACATAAATTTTGTATCATACCATTTGTTACTTTTTTGAACATTATTAGCTTCGACTTTGTCACTACTTTTTTATTTTTTCCACATTAGAAAACTGAATAAATTGTGGTCTACTTTATCTTTTCATATGTTTAGAATGTATATGCGTAAACCTTTCATTTACCTAAGCAGTAAAATAATTCAATTCAGCTGTTGACTAGCTGTCGCGCCGAGTTCGGGGTTTTTACAATATTTTACGACATACTCTGCAATAAACACTAATGATTACGCGTGCCCTCTAATTTTTTTATTTTAGAAGAAAAACTCATTCCACCATCCTAAATTTGCGTTGGTTCCCAACTACCCTTTCCTGAATTTCATGGGTAGGATATATCTTCTCTTGATGTCCGAGAGAAATATTTATGCTTTAGGGCGAACGAGAAATCGCTATATTATGTGAACTAGCAACCAGCGCACAACTAAGCCTTATGCCAGTTTTGCGACCTACATCTGACAAGTCACATTATATTTATATTTTATAAGCATAACTTATACTTTATAAGTTCTTGTTATTCTGAATAAACTTCCACTAGGGTTATCCATATTTATAATGTATTGATAAACATAACTTATTTTCACCCGTTCATAAACCTGAATAATCCTTCCATTTCATTACTAAATTAATTTTTCTAAGCTGAAACGTTTGCAGAATATCTTAGTACAGTATTCATACCCACCAAAAAATAATCTCCGAACAGTAAGAAGAAATATTACTGGAAAGCTTAGATGTACAAGATAGCACACCAATCAAATCAATAAAAATTAAGGAAGTATTGCAAATAATTAATAATATTAAGAATAGGAAGGCCTCCGGTTTTGACAATATTACAGGAAAAATGATTAAAATGTTACCTACAATAGCAATTAGATTTATAACATTTGTTTACAATGCCTGCTTGCGTCTCTGCTATTTTCCCACTCAGCGGAAAATAGCCGAGATAATACTAATACCTAAACCTGGTACAGAAGCAGGAAATCTAATATCGTATAGACCCATCAGCCTTCTACTAGTATTATAAAAAATTTTCGAAAAATTAATTTAAGCCAGAATTGACTCAATCATAATAAATAAAACGTTGATTCCAAACCATCAATTTGGTTTTAGGTGTAATCACTCCACGATAGAGCAGGTGAATAGAGTGGGTACGAGGAAAGCCATCGAAGAGAAAAAGTACTGACTGATATTTTCCTTGATGTAGCCCAGGCATTCGGCAGAGTATGGCATGAAGGGCTGTTACATAAGCTTAAAAGTTTTTTTCCTGTACGTCACTACGAAATACTGCGGTCATATCTGCAAAACAGGGCATTTCAAGTTAGAATAAATAGGAATTAATCAAAACGCCAGCTAATAAGACCTACTGTACACCTCGTACTTACCTAAATCTGAAAACATTCTAACAGCAATATACGCAGATGATACAGCAATTCTAACAACACACTCAGACCCAACAATAGCATCAGAAATAATAAAAAAATACATTAATAATCATCTTTAAAATTGGTTCAACTCACGGGGAATAATAGTAAACGAAAGTAAATCAATAGGAATCAAGAAGAAATTTGTATGATGTTCGCTGATACGAGTTGATTTTCACTTATTGAAATTAGAACAAACGAGACCCAACAACCGCTGATCTACGAGAAAATAAAAAACAATGGGAAAGCGAGAGCGAGAAATTTTATACTTTTAGGACTCGCTCAGCGCAACTCACTAGAATTTCTTAACCATTCAACCAGGCAAGTTCGTCTTTCTCTAATTATACAGGGTGTCCTATTATAAAGGAACCACCCTGAAATTTTCTACGGTTGGCGTTCTACAAAAATTGTTCAGATAAAAGTTGTTTGGGACAATGAGGAACCCTCTCTCCCGCGTAAGGTCATGTAGGGGTCATATTTATTATTTTTTTCTTCTACGCACAGGGATGATCGGGCAAGGGTAAAATTAATTTTAATAACCCAAAAACTCAAATAACCTAATAACCCAATAAACCAACCCCAATAACCCCAATAACCAAATAACCAAGTAATTTTTTTAATAAAACCCCCATTTTTTATCATGGATTCGGAAAGAGCGGGAAATTCTATGTTCAGGTAAGGTATTATGTGTGGGGTGTGGTCAACCCCCCCTCCTATCCCACCGGGGCAAGGGTGAGGTCAATAATAATAATAATAAATAATAAATAATAATAACAATAATAATAAATAATAATTATAATAATAATAAATAATAATAATAATAATAATAATAATAATAATAATAATAATAATAATAATGATAATCATAACTCAATACCCAAGATAAATAAGGCGAGGTAGGAATGCCCAGTCATTGAAAGCGAGGTATTGATTACCCAGCTAATTAAGGCAAGGTGGGAATGCCCAGCCAATGAAGACAAGACGATGACTACAGATAGAGTTATGATCAAGGTTGTTGTGGGAGCGCACAGCTCTCTCACGGCCAGAGTCGGCAACTCTCCTCTCTGCCTGACCGATCATGGCTCGGCGCTGTGCCTTAGCTCGCGCGCACGTGCGCCAGTCCGAACTTGCTACTCAAGCCGAGCACACCTAGCTGTATATCTGATTTGGTGCTAAAATAAATCTCTTGCTTCAAGACCGAGTTCTCTCTCTCTCTCTCTATCTCACCTTCATCAACGTGCCTGGGACCTACACCAACAGAGCGTTGGGAGACCTTAATTTCGTGTTCGCCTATCTCGACGACATTCTAGTGTTTTCTTCTTCGCCCGAAGAGCACGAGATCGTTTTCGAGTGACTCAGGAAATTTGGCCTGCGACTTAACCTTGCCAAGTGCGAGTTCGGTAGATCTAAGATTATCTTTCTTGGCCAACTCATCGACCAGCATGGTTCCAGGCCCTGACGTGAAAAAGTTCAGGCAATCATCGATTACCCTCAACCCAAGACAATTGTCGAGCTTCGTAAATTTCTTGGTCTCATCAACTTCTATCATAGAAGCCTGCCTCACGCAGCCACTGTTCAAGCTCCGCTGCACTCGTTCACCCACGGCTCCAAAAAGAATGATACCAGAGTCATTGATTGGTCACCCGAGACTGTCGAGGCATTTCAGAAGATCAAAGACGCCCTCATGAACGCTTGCCACCTTATTCACCCGTCTCCCGTCGCTCCAATTCGATTAGTTACGGATGCATCGGATTTTGCGATGGGTGCAGCTCTGGAACAGCTCATTGACATCGACTGGAAGCCACTCGCATTCTCGCAAAAATTGTCGTCATCCCAGCGTAACTACAACGCCTACGATAGGGAACTTACCGTGGTTTACGAAGTGATCAAGCACTTCAAGTATTTTCTCTAGGGCCATGCGTTCAAGGTTGTAACTGATCACAAGCCGCTAACCTTTGCTTTCTCTCAAAAGCTTGACAAGGCCTCTCCGCGTCAGTGTCGCCAGCTTTGTTTCATCTCACAGTTCACCACGCATTTTGAACACCTCCCTGTCACAGCCAACGTAGCCGCGGACGCTCTCTCGCGCATAGAGATCATTTGTCTTCCTCTCAACTTCGAAATGCCCGAGCTGGTGCAGCACCAACAGCACGACACAGAGTTGAAAGAGCTCCTCGAATCGTCTAACCACTCGCTTAATCTCAAGAGCATTGAGTTTGGTCACAACCACAATTATCTCTATTGTGATCTAACGGGCAACATAATTCGCCCCTACGTTCCGAAAACTTTTCGTCAAAGAGTTTTCGACCTTTTCCACTCGCCATCGCATCCTGGCCCCAAGGTCACGACCCAATTGCTTAGGCAAAGGTACGTATGGCCTGCAATGCATCGACACATCAAAGCCTGGTGTCAAGCTTGCCCCGATTGCCAACAAGCGAAAATCTCTCGCAACGTCAAGAATAAGCCTCTCAAATTTGAGGCTTCTGACGACCGTTTTTGTCACGTCCACATGGATATTGTTGGGCCTCTCAAAGCTTGCGAAGGCTATACTTACATTTTGACCATGATTGACCGTTTTTCGCGGTAGACTGAGGCGGTGCCTCTTAAAATTATTGAAGCTTCTACCGTTCTTCGTGCGTT